ATATAGTATCATTATCTATCGAGAAGAATCAGGTAGAAAGGAATGCTGGGCGAGCCTAGCTAGTGTCACTCCGGGGGACACTCCGAGTGGTTTGGTCCACGGCGCTTTGGAGATTTTGTTGCATAGAGGCAACGGCCTCGGTATCCTTGGCGACCTGGGCATCCTTGGCGGCCTTAGCGTCCTTGGAAGCCTCAGGGGTCTTGCTAGAGGCAGCAGGGGCATCACTAGCGCCGGCAGCAGCAGTAGGGACATTTCCAGCCTCAGAGACCTTGGCATCACCCGAAGTCTTGGGATCCCAGGAAACCTTTGAGCCACTCCCCGATTTACTATTTCCAGAGTCCTTGCCAGTTCCGGTAAAATTGCTACCATTAGGGGTGGGTTGAAGGATCTCCTCGAGGGCATCCTTTGGGGGGAGGGTAGGGGCACGGATAGGGGCATTGGGGGCGGCGCCAGAGTCTTCCGAGTTGCATGATGTGACATCCTCCCGATCCTCCAAGGCCGAGGTCAGACGCTGAGGGACACGGGCAACCAGATAGCGGAGCTCTAGGCGAAGCTCCTCACAATATTCATCCAAAGGGATGTCATTGGGGTCATAGCCAAAGGGATCCTCGATTTCGGACCCGACTTCTTGGATACCGAGGAGGACAAAGGCAATGACGAGGATGATAAAGGCCGTGTAAATGCCCAGAGTATCGACAAAGGTAAAGGGGAGAAGGAGGCAGTAGACCATGAGAGACTGACGCATGTGGATCCGATAGGCGGGGGGCATGGGTGTGGAGTGGATCCGCTCCATGCTGGTGAGGCAATCGGTGGCTTGGGCCAGGGCAGCACACATGGTCCCGTAAAGGGCGCCCTCGAGACCCCCAGGGATCTGGGCCAGACGTTCCTGGTAGAGGCCAATATGCATCAAAATCTCCTGAGGAAGATTCATGCATACCTCCGGATCAAGGTACACCTCGATGTCGGCGTCGTAGTCCCGTCGAGCGCACTCAGCCTGGCCAATGTTCCGGATCATATGAAAGGCTGGGGGGAGAAGGCGCTCGAGATCGATAAAGTGAGTTCCGAATTCATCGCGGAGATGGTGCTTGCATGCCACAACATAGGCAAGAAGCAGGTCGAGGAAATGGCGCTTCTCCGCGATTGAGGAGATACCGGGGGACACGCCGATCCACACGATACGGGAGAGACAGCGGATGGAGGTGATGAGGGTGGCGAAGAGCTTCCTTCCCTCCCAGAAGCGGTCGTAGGACGTATTGGTTCGGAAGGCTAGGAGAAGACCCAGAACCACAGAAATAGATGTGACTGAGCGGAGAGGGGGGAGGAGGAGATGGGGGGTTGAGACAAAGAAGAGAGTGGCCTATTCCTGAGGCGACTCAGCCTTTTAAATAAGGAGTAATATAAAAAAAATACCAAGGTACTTACCCACACTGTTAGAGAGTTCCAGCTTCAGTCCAACCCGCTCATGGAGAATGGAAATGAGCAGGGACCAAAAGAAGATAAAGGACACGGGAAGGGTAACATGGGGCAAAACCGAGCCTTTGAGACGCAGGGCATCGGGCCAACCCCAAAGCTTGCTTCGTTTAGTGGGTTGGACCACAGGATGAAATTCGTTCACCATGGCGGGTAGAGTGCTATGGGAGATGGGTAAGTGAGTGGCCTGAACAAGGGATACAGACTGGCTGAGCGGCTCTTGACACGACCAAGTATCCATACCTGATCAGACAAGGCACGGGGAGCAAGGAAAGGGTAAATAAAATGGATATGCAAGATAGAAGAAGGGACCGAGGAAAAGGAGGAGGAGGAGAGAAGAGAGGAGGGGAAGAGGGTAGGAAGCGATGGACAGATGCCAAGCCATCTTGGCGGAGAATACGCGCGCACGTAGCGGAGGTTTAAAAGCGCTTCTGAGCCCCCTCCCTCTTGCCTCCCAGAGAGCGTGGAGGAGAGTGTGGGCGAGTCTGTGACTCTAGATAGATACGCCATAGAGCTTCAAGTGAGAGCAACCAGTTAATCACATACGACGAACGCGGCGGAGGAGAGAACGTCTAGTATGTCCCAGATTCATGACGACACTCAACCAGGGGTGCTGAGCCTTGACGCAGTGACATGAATGGAGGACGAACAGCCCTTATACTGTGGATGAGCATGTAGAACAATGAATTGATCAAGCCGCCTCCTACTTTTGCTCCTTCCCCCCCTCCCCGCTTGCGCTATTCAGAAGCTTCTGGCGGGGAGCTAGAGCTCGATTTTCCTCTGTAAACGGTCACAACTTCCTTCTCTACGCTCAAAAGATGTCACACGGACCACCACAAAAAAAACACAGCTAGTCTAGCCATTTGCCGCAAGTGAGCAAGGGAAACACTCTAATGCATATACCACCCTAGCAAATGAGATAATGAAGTGACCCTCCCAAAAAAGAAAGGTCTATAAGCCAATTTGAATTCGCTATCCAAGTCGATTGGCCTACGTCACTACCGACTCGATTTTCTTGAGTATGTTTTCGATGTTCCCGGCCGCACTATCTAGTTTGCGTATGTCGTCTTCGCGGATCTTAACCGGCTCAGCCTTATGATAATACGCATACACTCGTTGGTATCGGTCCGATGATCGTTTCATAATCTTAGGCCATTGCTCACCCACCAGGGCATCGATTGTTTCTGACTTGAATAACAGCACCCGTAGGCTCTCTTCAATCTCGTTGTAGGGAGGTGCGTTCTTAGGATGCTTACTAATGAGGGTAAGAAAGGCATGCTCTACCTTTAGACAGTTCCACTCAAAAGTTTTCTTCCAGGTCATCGGGTTCGTTAATTTTTCCTTATTCTCCGAGGATATACTTTCGGGGTCGACGTAGGGAAAGCTCTTAGCGGTCGGGATAATCTGTTTATCATTCTCAGGGTCAACAAAGACAACCCTATCATAGCTTGCACTCTGTCGACGGCGCTGGGTGTTGGGAAAGGCGACATTGCCATGGACATTAATTGGTTTCCATGAGATCACTTGATTAGCCGTGGGCGTGTGAATTTGTGAGTGGCTTGTGGCTGGAGCAGGTGAATCAGGGCGAGATGATTCCTCTTGGGGGGAACGTTGATGCACTGGGGATGTGTGAGACCGCCTATGGTGTACTAAGGGTGTGTGAGACTGCACATAATCTACAGTAGACCGCTCATTAGGAGGGGTGGATCCCACTTGGGAGGAACGTTGACTTGCCGGGGACGTGCGAGATCGCTTGAGGGAAGGAGGGCTAGAGGGAGTCAGAAGATCTGAGATACTTAGGCGTTTGTGCTGAGAAGACTCCCCATTAGTAGAAGCTGCAGCAGCCAGGGAGAAGAGGGAGAGTACGGAGAGAAGGGCAAAGGTGGAGAGGGAGAGATTCATCGCGCTAGATTTTGCTGATGGGCTTCAGGGTAAAGGGAGACGTGAAAGTGGAAGGGACAGTATCGTTAGACGGTAATAGCAGATTTTTTGGAGAGGGGATAAGAGAAGCGGAAAGGCGTCAGATCAAATGAAGATATGTGGGAGGACGTCAGGCCAAAGGCGAGGGAGAAGAGGATGAAGTGTGAGGGCGGATAGAAAGACTGGTGAGGAAAGGGGCAGCATGGCCCAACCTTTATAGGGTGAAAAGCAAGACTCCTATTTCAAATTCCGATAAAGAGGTGTTGGAGATAGTGTGTGTGTGTGGAGCTCCGCAAGACAGGCACACATGTTGAAAACACATGTCTCCGCAACGTGTTGGGGGAGAGCAAAGGATAGGCACAAGTAGGACTGGGGGTATAAAAGGTCAGCTGGGGTTGGTTAGAAAATGGCTGGGCCCCAGATACTGACACTACGTTGTCTAGTTGCATGTAGCCTCTTCAGCCCATCATTCACGTCCCGCCACAACTCCTCGGTCTCATCCCTCTGCTTGGCCCCAAGCCCTTACCCGACACTTCTTGCCTTGCCTTCAGGCTCCTTGAATGAAGAGGGAGCTGAGCAGGATGTTGACCAAGTGTTGGATGTATGCAGCATCGTTCCATAACGCAATGCACTTTCAAGTGCCCATCCCTCCCAGTGTAGTCTGCCATGCCGGGTATATCCTTTACAAAACTCATCAGGATAAAAGACTTTTTTTATTTACTGAAAGGAAACACCAGTGACACATAGTTGTTGCAAGGCTCGCCATGAGCATCGCAACATGCCACTCCGCTCAGAAGTGAATTCCGCATACCAGTGTGTCTTTCGATGCAAATCACAGCCACTTTTCGGTCATTGACCGTCGGAATGGAGGAATATTCTGGGGTACATAGTGTAAGGGAGATGGAATGGAAACAACAGTAGGCATTCGAGGAGTGTTCGTTAACTAGAGGGGACATTCGTGAATCAAAGCCTACGGGTACTCGCGAACCAGGGACTGTGGATGTAGAGGGCGGAGGGAATATGTCAGCGCTGGCTCCCTCGTGCACACCTCGACTCCTGAAATCATCCTGATCTGGAGTAGATCATCTTTGTCGCCTGTTCAAGACACATTAAAACACGGTCAAGCATATATACTTTTATCAGAGAAGTGAGGGATTCCTAGAGAGGGTTTCCATTGGTTTTATGTCTTTACAGAGGGTGGTTTCGTCAGGATACGTCGGGATCTATGGAGCATTTCTGTAGGGGCAAGCCCTTATCTCAGATGGTGGGTGTATATCTCTAGAATGACGGGAGTGTGTATGAGGATGTGATTTAGGTCACGACCCCCCTATTCTCATTAGACATGATCTTTCTCGTGCTGTCTGATCTGTGGTACTCACAGTGGAAATCGGTGCAACGGCTCCTATCCTTGCTACGCCCCCAAATCGTCCTGGTCGCTAGAGCATATGGGTATTTTCCCAAAGACTTTGAGCAATGTACTAAATCTCTGGCCATTCTAGTTGTTGAATAATTTATTGTCTTATGGAGAAAAACGTCCAAGGGACAGTCAGGGGGGGGGGGCAGGAGCTTTAGGCCATGAACGGCAGGGCGGGGGTGGGTAGAAAGGCAGGTGAGGATGGTGGGAGTCGAATCCACAACCGTAAGGTCTTCAGTGCAGCGCTCTACCCATTACGCTACACCACCCCCTACTCGTCCACCTTAAATACTTGTCGGGTCACAGCCTCCTGTAGACAAGAGAGGAATCCCCATAGTGAGGCCCACAAGTGAGGACTGAGAAGTGAGTGTATGTGTGTGTGTTGGATCACTCCCTCAGTACGAGAAGGGACGAGTACAAAAGGGAGCAAGAGATGGAAGAGCACTTTCCATCCTGGGGGGATGGGCACCTTGGTTCTGCATCTGATTGTGAGACTAAGGAAGTACCATCCCCCCAAACATCCACGATCTCCATCGTGCACAGAACATAACGAGAAGAGGTCTCGGCATATCTGCTTTGAAAAACCATTTATTTCCTGGCCTCCATACCAAATATTTTGCCATGTAAGGTTTACCCAGAGAAATTTCGCTTGTCGGTGTAGGCAGATAGACCCGAGCGCTACGTCCATCTTAAATGCCTTCCTCTTTAGGCCTAATCTCGTTGAAAAAATCATTGTCTCATGGGGAAAATGCACCCAAAAGACTACACGAATTCACACTCCTGTCACAGCCTGAGGGGACTGATCAGGACAGGAAACTCAGTGACAGGATCTACACAGATGAGCTTAGACTTCTTTAAAGGCCCCAAGGTCTTCAGGATGTGATTTAAGCCACGCCAGGCGGGAAGAAAGGGAAAGCCTTAGACTAGAAGAGAGGTGCTTGACGATTGCATTGGCATTGTAGACCATACCATCAAGGCCCAGTCATTTCTCTGAAGCCAGATGGCCCGGAGAATAGCACCAGACAGGACTACCCACGCGTCAATGATGGTCTTTCCATTGAGGGGGGACGCTGGCCTGTCGCCACCATAGAGGCGATGCGGCTTGGAGTAAGAAGACATAGCGGCGGGAGAGAGGGGGAGAGGATTCGGATAACGACCCTTCATACCTCTTCTGTGATGGGGCACTCGGCAAACAGATGAAGAACCAACTGGATACAGGGACATCTGGGGCAATGGAACGCAGCAGGATCCTCTGGGACCATGGGAGCTAGCCTGGGGCCGGTTGGAAGAGCCTTATGGGCCACTTTCCATCCGGGATTCGAGGTTTTGCGGTCACTCCAATTGGACTAAAGGTGAGCTAGTGGGAGACAGGGGTATTGGGTCTGGGTTATGACCTCATTAGCAGCCTGCGGGTGTTCAAGGGTCTTGAGGAGATGGGAACGGGTAGCAAGATGTAGGGGCAGGAATCTTTTCCAGCGGGGTGGAAAATGAGGTCATCTAGGGACAGGGTGAGAGGGATCAGTGATCGAGGAGGAGGAAAAGTAAAGGCAGCTGGCCGTCTGAGGAAGTATAAGCCCTGGAGGACGAGGAGGGCCCCTCCCAGATTGTAAACCAGTGAGGGATGGAACACAAGACGGGGGCGGTGTCTAGATCTACTGTGGTCCCAGAGGTCCCACAAGGTCCTGATCCCATAGTGTCTCAAGAGGGCGAGGAGACGGGAAGGAGGAATGCATGCGAGTTCGGGACGGTGGAGGGTGGGGAGATGAAGAAGCTGCGGAGACAGGAGAAGGTCATTTAGGCCTAATCTTACGTATCCAAGTATAAAAAAGACCAGAAAAACCATCACGTTCCCATCACACTACAATCCGTTTTCTCCAATCATCTCTCTCTCTCATATCAACCCTTCACACGACCTGAAACATATCACCATAGTCTGGAGTCGATCTGTCCGTATCCCATCCCCATTCTCTTCCTCAGGGACGACTATACCGTCGATTGCCCAGGGAGATTTTACCCCTCATCTCCTCGGGAGGGGATGCGCTAATGGTTTTCTGTAGTGCCCATTTCAAAAATTATAGTACAGGGCACACGTCGGGAACATTGTTTCTGGTATCATGCAGGTCGGCCGAATGAGGCGGGTTATGTATTCGGATGGCCTTTAGCGCCTACCTCACTAGGGAAAATAGAATGGCTTCAACAGCCGGCTCTTGAGACACAAGCGGTTCTGGATGGTCACAGGTTTTAGAAGCTGCGTTGATAAAGAGAAGTGGAGGAGCTCTCGGGAACCTGCTTGGAACATCTCCTACCTCAATCCCTTCACCAAACCTCCAAAAGTACAGTATTCCACGCCCATGCCACATCCAGAACCCGTAGAAAGCTTCGTACAGCTCCTGGATCGATGTGATACCTATTATCCTGGAAAGAAATACACTGGTCCCGTCCCAGAGGACCAAGTGGTGGGGTACTTTTGGGTGGATGGGAGGCGCGTGGGTCACGTCCGGGCCAGTGTGGTTCAGGCAGTACGAGAGCATGTGGGAAGCTGTGAGATCCCCGTCTTCCTTCTGGAACCCTCGACCTATCCTGGCTCCGAGGGAGCAGATGTGCACCTTTCCTCTACGATCCCCTCAACGTACGAGGCCCGGACAGCAGCGGTCAAGGAGGTGGTGGATGGTTGGAGAGCAACGGATCGATTACAGCCCTTAAGAGGTCAGTGGATGTGGCCCTATGGTCTTTCCTACGGTTGACTGATCCTCCTCTATAGGCTGGAGGGATGAGCTGTACCCGTTGTATACTGGAGAGAAGGAAGCAGCCTTATCGATAGAACGATCAGCAGCCGCACTGTTTGGGATGGCTGCATTTGGAGTTCACATCAATATCATCACGGCCACTAGCTCCACTGGCGCACTGGCGGCCTCAGGACTCCCTGGTATGGATAATTGGAAGATGTGGATTGCACGCCGTAGTCTTCACAAACCCACGTATCCTGGAATGTTGGATAACTCGGTGAGTCCCGCTCTGAGAGAACATGCCTTTTCCCCATCATTATCTTAGTATTCATCATGATGAACCATCCTTGGTAGGTGGCAGGAGGAATCCCTTATGGTTTATCACCACGGGAGACCATGATTAAGGAGTGTGAGGAGGAGGCCAGTCTTCCAGCTCACCTTGCCGAGAAAGTATGTTTTGTCTCTCTCTACCTACATCTCCCTTCTCATTTCTATCCTCCCATAGGCTGTGTGCACTGGGTATGTGTCGCACATCAACGATACGGCTGATGGGGTACAGCCTGAGGTGCAGTACGTGTATGATCTCTTGGTCCCGCCTTCTACAACGCTCCGACCCAATGATGGGGAGGTCGAATGCTTTTACCTGTGGGATGCCATGGAGCTACGTACGGCCCTCCTGTCCGGGGCCTTCAAACCCAACTGTGCCCTGGTGATCCTGGATTTCCTCCTTCGACATGGCCTCATCACCCCCGAATCCGACCCTGCCTACCTATCCTTGGCATCCCGACTTCATCGGACCCTCGGTCTGTACGGTCCTGGTGGGACACAGATCTAGGAGGGAGAGGACGTGAAATACATCATCATTGACGATTAAAACAGCCAAAGGACCAAGTAAAGAAGGGAAAAAAGACAAACGCGTCTAATGGTACAGAGAAGGAGAGGTGGGAAAAAAAGGGGTGAATGGGGTGAGGATGGAAACATCTAAAGGGATGCACATCACACAAAAAGTGGGTGAGGACACAGGGGAGATCATCAAGAGGAGGTGGTGGGAGGGGTACCGGCAGAAAGGTCCGAGGAGGCCCTTCGCTTCAGATGCTTCAAATTGGTGGGGTAATGGGGAGAAAGGTGGGTGGTGGTGGGACTGGTGCCCAGGTCACTTAGGTCAGGTGGACCACTGACCGTGCCTCTGCGCTGGGAGATTCCCGTGGAGGAGGAGGACCTGGTAGGGAGGAGAGAGTGACCATGGGCTTCCTGACGATCCATGGTGGCCATGGCCTCTTCAAAGTGCTGGTGTCTTATTTCTTGCTCCTGTCGACTCTCCTGGGGGGAGGTGGAGGAGGAGGGGTTGGAAACACCGGGAAGGAGGGAGATGCTGGAGCCATTAGTAACCCCATACACGGCCAGTCCGTCCATGGGAGAGCCCGCGGAAGAAGAGGAGGAGGCCGAGGAGGAAGGAATAGAGACGTGATGGGTGGTGGAAGCAGCGGCAATGGCAGCGGCCATTTGACCCTGAAAGTGGGAGGATCCAGTGGAGCCGGAGAATGTCATGCCTGAGGGGCCGAGAAGAGCGGGGAAGGCCTCTTCCTCCCCTGCGCCCGAGGAGGAGGGAGAGTCGGAGGGGGAGGTGAGGTAGGGGGAGGAGACACGGGTGAGGAGGGCATGGGGAAATTGAATGGATACGGAGGAGGAGGGCTGGGCGTGGGCATCTTGGACATGAACCTTATTCATACCTTCAATGGGCTGAGAGGAAGGGACAGGATAGGGGGAGGAGGAACGACGTTGGTTCATGGGAGTGGAAAGGGGGATGGGGGATGGGGATCTAGTGGGATGGTCGATGGAAGAGGAGAGGAGCGGAGAGATGTAGGGGGAAGTGGCGACTGAGTGGGTGGAGGCAGATCTCTGATGTCCCTGAGAAAATTCGGAATGACTGACAAGGGGAGTGGGGGAGGCAAAGGGGGAAAGGGCGTAGGGGGAGGTGGAGAAGGGGGAGGTGGCTGCTGAGGTGAATTCGACCCCCGGGGATGGGGAGAGGGGGGATAGGCCCGAGGAGGGGTCGGATACGGCCAGACACACATTCCCATCGCGATTTGAGGATTGAAGGCCGCTCAGGGTCATGGAGGGAGAATGGACAGAATGATCCTGACCAAGGAGAGGGCTGGTGATCAGAGTGGGGAGAGGAGGATTGGGGGAGGGGGATCGAGAGGATGGGTTGGAGGAGGGGGAGGGAGAAGGGACATGGGGGAAAAGAAGGGCGCGGGTCGATTCCTCATCTCCATCGGCATGAGTGACAAAGATGGAGGGACGATCTTCCTCACCTAGACCTGAGGAGGAGGAGCCTCCCGATCGGTTCCCGGTGGATACGCTAGGATGGCCCGAAGCCCCACCTAGGTCGCCACTGACGTTATGATGAGTGGAGGCCTTATGCTTGCCCTCAGCATACTCCAACACTTCGAGTAGGGTATGACTCAGGGCGGGGGAGGCCATGGAGTTCTGGTGGAGAAGGGTGAGGAGCTGACGAAGAACCTGCTGTTGAGCCCCGTATT